CCTGCATCAGTGATGTACGATCGATACGAGAGATGAAAATCACTCCTAAAAGCATGCCCTTTAGAATTCGCATAAAACCAGAGAAAAGTCCAAGAATTATGTTGTAGAAGAAGAAAAAGTATGACATGATGGAGAATAGCCGCCTGAAAGAGAGAGAAAGAGACCAAAAATAAAGTGTACACGATACGGGCTGATCAGTATTTTAAGCTTCGTGACCCATAAGCAAGATGTGAATCTAGGAGAATTACTAATTAACCTGGATGCAACACAAACAAACCAACGACCACAACTACAGCAACAACAACTACAGCAACAACAACAACAACAACCATCACAGCAACGAAAACAACAACACCCACTACCACTACAACAACATCAACAACAACAATAAACACACATACAATGATAACAAAGATATATGGCAAAAATCTTCTCATCAGAGACGTTTCTGTCGATGAGTTGTTGTGTCGACGTTCAATTAATCTACCGCCGCTTTGTATTGAATGTTTTCTCGGCAAGGCGTGAGTTGACCACAAAACATACAGTAGCATATGACATATCCAATCAACACAATGATAAAATTTGCTACGCCATCGGTCTTCAGCAGCCAAATAGGACCGAGCGGAAGTCCAATTCGGTCAGTAGTCGTAACAAAATTTGAGAAAGAAACTAGAGATCGGTTGTGGTTGTACGTTTTCATTAAAAAGAGAAAAAGAGAAAAAAAAGCAACCGTTAACTCGGCAAAATGCGAGACAACAGCACACGACGCGTTCTGTCCACTTACCCTGGCATGACGTGTTAACTGTCTCTTTAACTATCCTCTTACACTGTCCAATTACACACATGATGCGTACACCGTCCTATTAGTTCTCAAATCGGGCTGGTGATAATTAATCACGTTCGCGAATTTTGCTATAGTTTTGATTAGTGCACTAAAGGGACAGTGTACAGTTCACGTTATGCTTGTAACTGGCCATTTAACGTAGCATGCTTATGTGACTATACGCGATATATGAGTACTGTTATAATTTTGTCAATCACTTGATGAATTACGGACCGAATCGGACTGCACTCTGTCAGGCCTAGTACTAGTCATAGATGCCTGCACGTGTTTGTAATAAGTAGATCAGTTGTTCAGGGGCGTGCGTATCACACAACAAGAGATTCAGCTCAGAATGATATACAACAATACCTATTATCAATTGTGACAGTGATGTTTGGATAATTCAGTACCGGAAGACGAAATGTGTCAGAAACAACTGGAACAACATCAGAAAAATAGCCAAGGCCAAAGTGGGTCTGTAAAAACAACATCCCATGAGTACTAGATTACGTCTTTCGAAAAGCCTTCAAGTCTCACTATAATTATGAAATTATGATTATAATTATAAAACCAGCTTAGCCACGAAATCCTGATCCTGCAAATATGTTACTGTATCTTGTTTTGATGCTTAAACAATCTTTAGAGTTGCATTCTTCATGTAGTAGAGTATTTTTTCAATTGAGTGTCGAAGGTAATCGAGGATTGCTGTGATTTTGTTTAACTTCCCCGTGTGATTGGTCCAGAAAGCTCGCGCCACCTTCTCAACCAATCAGATTCAAAACTTGAACAAATCGTGATTTGATCATTCGTATTTTCCCGCCTTTTTACGCAGTACGCCCACAACGATCACAATAACCAGAAGACAACAATGTGATACAATCATATGACTCTCATTCTTAAGATTCAAATTGATACAACATATACATCGGTAAAACTTACAAAAAAGCAATTCCAGTTTCTTTCAAATGTTTCCATAATTCTGGGGCGAGCAGTTCTTTCGATTTGAAAACGATTGCCAGAGCAGCAACCACAGTTGACAGAAAAAATTGTCAGAGTGCCAAAACCTACAAAAGAAAAACGAAGATAAAACATCAAAGAGCTTCATGGTGAGATCACATTTGTACCAAGAGCATTGCCAAATTACGAGCCCACCTGCTAGTATAAACAATAAATTAAAATTTGCAGGTTCATGAAATACTATTACTTCCCTTTAAAGACCGCGTTGCTTCTCAACTATGGTTTAATCATAAACAATCTGAATCTCTTCAAATTTAAGTTTTATGACAACATAAAGGTGTCGTTTCATGAATCAACGGTAAACATTCATTCAAACGCGACAACTCTGCTAGAGAATGAAAGTCACCGAGGAAAAAAAAAAACGTTAAATAGCCCGCTTAAAGGACCACGCAAACTTTATCCTCAGAATTTCAAATCCCTATTATTGCGTATTTCTTTAGTACATTTGTATCATGTTCAAACAAGGCCAGTGTCAGTATCTAAGAAATTGCGCTCCCTACCCTCCACTAACCCAACATTAACCCTAACTTATTATCAGTTGACTGATGTTGGCTTAGGGAGGGTGGTAGGTGGCAATTGCTCAGATACTGATGTCGATCATTCAAACAAAGAAAGGGACAAACAGAAGATTAGCATTTAAGATACTGTGTGACATCAAATTCATTTTCTTATACCAAGCAATGTGTACGCTATCTGATATCCAGAATATCGGAGACTCCTTCCCTAGCAGGGATAAAAAGAAAAAAAAAGGCAACAACAAAATCTTCACTCCCAAATTTTATAACAGAAGTCTTACGGTCCAACCAAGGAGTAACACATATTTCCGGGTCTAGAGTTCTTGAAAATCTTCCGTTCATCATCATTATATTTCTGTCATTTTCTTGTGTTATCCTTATCATCTTTATGGTTATCATTTTCCCCAACACAACTATTGTCGTCATCATCATCATCATCATCATTATTATCATTGTCATTATTATTAGTAGTAGTATCTTAAATATTAGTGCTATTATCATCATTATTGTCATACAGCAATGATTCGATTTAGCGCCCGGCGCTCACCTACGTTTGATACTTCAAGGAAGGGTGCTTAATCGAAACAGGGCGCTTGTTAGGGACAGGGCTCATTTTCTTCTTTTTTCTTTTTTTCTTCTTCGAGAAACAGCAAAATGTAAGGAACAGGGTTTGATGTTTATTTGAAAAGCAACAAGAAGACTAGAAAATGGATTTGTTGTTCCAGGATCCATCCTGACTACAACGACTAGTCAAGCAGTTTAAGAAAATCAAAGCGGGAACGGGAACGAAACGAAACAAAACGTTAGATAAGCAGAACAACGGCTGTGCACGAGGGTAAAAAAAATCTTTGTAAATTTCTTTGTGTAAATCTGCAAAACAACAACGTGAAATGACCCAACTTTGCGTTGTCTGTTGAGCGTGAACGGCAACAGCTATTTCTTTTAAAACTTCCATTTCTAATTTAACGCTGTGTTCCATATTCAGTTTTGAGATATTTTGAAAGCGAGGAAGAAAGTACATGACTTTAGAGTATCGCGAGATTCGTAGGTCAAATATAAGTTCATTTTTTAACCAACCGCTGTCGTCGTTTCTTAAACTTCCTATCATCCGTCACTTAACCACAGTACGTACCACTGAAGCTGCAGGTGTCAAGAGCAGGTCCTTTGAATATATTGCTTGCCCTTGATACAACTGAAGCACGTGTTCTCTGAAAAAAAAGATTTAAACGTTGGACGTGAGCGCCTTGGATTCGAAATCGTTTACAACAACAACTCTATTTTGCAAGGGAGCATAATTGCCACGGAATACTTTATTTTTTTTGAACAGTATAAAAAGAGTAAAAAATAATAAAAAACAATAACGAAGAAAAACGAAAAGGACCATCAAGCAGAAATGCGTGTAAGGATATTAAATTGAAAAAAAAAAAAATATATATATAAAAAATTTCATCACCTTTCCCCTGACACTTAATTTGTATCGACCTACATGTGGAGGAAGCTGTAAAAGCGAAAAGTCTTCCTCAATAAAAAATTGAGAACACGATGACTGACTCAGGAAAAGCTTCAGCGTTTCCAAATTAAGGTGAAAACTCACCGATGGCATTTCATGAAGTGAAGCAACATCAAAAGAGAAATGACCGCAGACAAGACAAGTCCTGCTTCTATCCCGCCTGCAAAGAAAATTGAAAAAAAGAAAAAAAAAATCACCATAAAAATTTACCATCCAACCAAGTCTATTTACTCATCTGTCGTTTGTAATAGTTATGCCCCCTTATTGTAGATATGTCCTCTGACGTAATGTGATACAGTGGCCAATCATATTTTGTGATCTATCGAGCAACACGCAGCTTGGGACTGGTTAAGAGACTCCGTTGTAGTTTTATCTTTAAGCAAAAGTACACATTCAAGGGGTCAGGATGGGTCGGGATAAGCGGAAAATTTGACCAGTGTTTTCCAGTAACAACGGATGAACAACCTCCTGCTGATTTCAGGAAAACTTGTCATCCACAAACAACATCCGTAAATAACAAAGCGATTTTCGACCAAGGGATACGTTATTGCTCACGCTTAATTTGCAGTCTTGCTTTATTTACAGTCTTCATTGCTCGACTTGCGACTCCTGTGATGACAACATTTTACCCACAAGCTAAGACAAAAGCTCAATGTGGTGTCATATCATAGTTCATTTATTTTTCTTTAACCGTTGAAGATCATAGATTATGATTCGTCGACGCAAAATTATATCTTTTTTGACGCTTCACCCTGATCTGTCGGAGGTGAGATCGACTGAGAGGTCAAAGTTGGGATTATTTGTCTGCGTCACGAAGTCTTCCTTCAAACACAGAAGTTTGACCTTCAGTTATTAATTTGGAATACTGTGGGTTTTTGCTGTATCGCACTGAGCCCTCTATTAAAAAAAGTTGAATTAGTATATTGTGATTTTATTGCGGTTCCGCTGATTTCAGCTGTTACAGCTAGCTGCATATTTTATACTGTCACAGATCGAGAGCGCTTTGTAGTTATTCCGCAGCGCGCTTCAAGCTCAGAGATCTAAAAGACAATGATCTTTGAAAACCAAATTCCTCTGAAACTTGTGAGCACGTACATCACATGAAAGCCAGTATGGTAGCCGTTCACGAATATACACTATCCCCCTGAGCCATGCTCGTTTTCCCGATCCCATCACCTAAACACATCTTTTTTAGTACAGTTTCTAAATCATTGAAGGGTGTATCGCACTTGTGGGTGGATTTGTCATAATTTACCCCGTTTATGACAAATTCACACAAGGATCAAATCGAAAATCGGGGTAAAGATCGTGATGTAGGCAAGTCAGTAGGATGTAGTCCTCTTAAAGGATGAATTTCCCAGAATTTACCCCGTTATTCTAGAATCCACTGATCAAATGGAAAATCGGTGTAAAGATGGCTACGGTAAGTCCATAGGATTTATTCCACTTTAAGGATCAATTTTAAAGAATTTACACCTTTTGAAATTGTCAAACTTCGAGCAAGGAAATCTTTACGATCTTGTCACACTTTTGCATCGCTTCTCTCCCCTAGTTGGGAAGTGACTCGCAGAAAACACGATCACAACGCAATTTGATTGGAAAAAAATAAAACCACGCTCTGTTGGTTATTAGGTGTGAGGACATAGCTACAACGGAAGGCACAACTGCAACGCCACAGGAGATTTGGGTAGAAAACTCGAGGGAGATTTGGGTCGAGTAGCAATCAGCCAGGAGGTTTGAGCCAGGTCGTGTTCCCTACTACCAATCCCTTGTTCAGTTTTTTTCGACTCGACCCAAACGTTCTGTCATTCGCTCCGTCGATAGCATCATGCTTGGAATTTTACTTCCACACATGGTTTTCTAACTGAACACCTGGAACAAGCTATTTTCTTGATTACAGACACAAAAACTTACCAAAGAGGACGTCTACAAAATTAGCCGAGCTGGTGTCCCCATGAGTTTTGTATTTTTCAATATATACCCTTCTCATCACGTCCATTAGGGAAAGAACTGCCATGAAAACCTGAGTAGAGCGTAACACTTTAGAAGAAAGTACCGGCATGTAATTCCTCTATATACTAATGCTGTTGTTTTACCATTAAAATTCTCCTGCTGTGAACCTACAGCTAATTTGATGTTTGACTTCAGACATAGATTTGCACTTTGTAGCATTCAAAAACTCTTCCACGATATTTATGAGATCCGTTCTTATCACACCCGATCTTCTGCCCCTAAAATTTTATAAACAAAGCTCTTGATTTTCAACTCGACCGCTGGCACTCTTTTCCCAGAATTGGAGAGAATAGCACTCGAGCTACCTGTGGGCTGGAAACTTATAATCTGTCTCGACGGTAAGAAATAAAATGCATTTATGTACGTAGATATGTATGAGAAAAGAAATCCAACACAAAAACAGTAATGAGCGTGGTAAACTATGACCACGGTGACGATGACCATGGAGATAGTGTAATTCACTCCGTAAGCAAGTCGCACAGTCAGTCAGTCAATCAATCATTCTGCCATCACAGTATTACCAAAAGCGAAAGCAAATATACAATAGTTAAATCGATACAAATTATCCAACTCACCTGAAGGATCATTAAAGCGCTAACCAAAGTTGTTGAAATGAATTGCGTCGAAAATTTGAAATCTAAAAATGAAATTCAGATGAAGTTAAAAAACAAATTTTAACAACAAACGACTGGGTGTCATTTAAATCATCTCCTTATTCAAATGGTTCCTGTTCGTGGCTCAGACATGGCGCGAACAAAACATTTTACCTTTCCTTGGTTTGTAGAAACAACGAAGCAGCGTTGAAAACCAGTTTAATCCAACCATATTTCCCCTGTTTGAAGCAACACAAAAAGAAATTATACCACCGATCCCGAGTAATTAGAAAATCATTATCATCTGAATAAGCTTCGGCAAAAACGAAAGAAATATGTCACTTTATATATTCATAACTCATGTAGGCATCAATCCCACGTTTATGTTATCGTTGGTGATCAATGGCAGCTCTTTTCTTTACGTACACGTTCTTTTCAACCGAACATGACAACCTTACACGTAGGCCAAAGGAATCAAGACTGATTGGAGCGCTTTCCAGACCAATCATAAGGAATAATGAGCGAATTGAAAGATTCAAGTATAAATCTAAAAGCGTTTAGTCAAAAGTTCTGCAGTCTGATTGGCTTTGCTAATCCTTCACTAATTAACAATAAGAGTGCAAGATTTTTATTTGAGCAACAGACCGAACTTTCTATCGGTGTACCGGCATAGTAACCTACTTGAGTTGTTGGGAGAACACGACAAAAGTTTGTAAATCACTCGCCCCAGGCTCCTTATTAACAAATTTCTCCTGCGTTCTTTTAACATCCCAAGTGGGTTTTCACGCTGGTAAACCAATAAAAATTGGGGTCTATTGGTAGTATAACTTAGAACAAAGCAGATTGTGATGTTGCGGTAAATTCAGACACGCATTAATACAAACATATTTATTGCTTGCATTTAAACCTAATTACACGCGAGGACGTGTGGGTTGACCAAGTGACACCCACCCCTTGAAAACAAATTCAAATGCCAACTTAAGGTAAGTTCGTCATAAAAAAAAAAAAAAAAAAAAAAAACATTAAATATCTGATTTTTTTTATCGTGATAAAATAAACTATTCCTTTTAAACTAGAATAATAATAATAATAATAATAATAATAATAATAATAATTATATCATTATTTTCCTAAACGCGAGCTAAAGTTTTCTGGCGTTGACGAGTCGAACTTGGACGGTGCACGCAGAGGACTCTCGGTGGAGCAGCTGAATCAGTAGGTAGAAAGGCGGATACTCTGGAGAAAGATCTGCAAAGCAAAAATAAAACCGCATTTTATCGTAAACTCATTTAAGGATAAAACGTTCAAGATAAAACTTGGGCTAGAAAGGTTAAGTTCTTGGTTAAGAATAAAATTATTTCAGGGACAAACAGTGGTCTTAAAATTTCCGTACCTTGGGCGAAGTCGGTTCTTGTGCTCTCAGCAGCGGGGACCTGGTCACTTGGGTTCGATGCCGCAAGAGAACATGCAACGCACAACCAATCTATTCTTCCTCTGATTGTTGCCAAACGGTAGGTGGCTTGGTTGATACCAGTCCCGCAGATACGATGCTGCCAAAAGCCGCAATGTCGCACTGAAGGGCTTGCTGGCGTGGTCGAACTTCATTTCCGCACTCGATACAAGGATGAAGGCTCACTATATAATTTTTTTTGCCTACGGGTAACGATCTCGTGTTTCAGCTTGCTGATTATCTCGGAATAAGGTGGCTGTTATTAATTTAACCTCTTTATATATAGTTAGCCGGAACAAAATTTACATGCGACCGGCCGAGGAAACAAGGAACAACTGAACAAGTCGCGATAATTTATGCCGCGTCTGATCCTAAGGGAAATGATGCTAACAAGCTTTGTTCGTGTGGTTAGCAATAAACAAAAAAACCGCTGTAAAAGTTCCAGGTTGTTTTTTATACGATAAATAAAACTAAGAGAAATGATGTATTTTTCTGATATGTGTGGAAAATTCTGATAACTGAAAGTTCCGCTTATAGAATTTGTACCGTAGAATGAGCAGTTTAGTTCGTAGCAACGAACAACGCTGAAATGAACAGCGATATTTGAGTCTTTGTTTTACTTCATATTCCCATAGGTTAGCGGACGAAAACATTTTATGAGTTTATTCCTTACCATTGTTACTCTTCTTCAAGATTAAACACTGGATAAAATTTAGGGCGACATGACTCAGGATTTCGGGCGACATGACTATGAATTTCGGGCAACATGACTCTTGTTCCGGGCGACATGACTTTAGGCGATTGTTACTTTTCTTCAATCTGCACTGTTGAATGAGCAGTTTAGTTCATATCAACGATTAACGCTGAAAAGAACAGCGATATTTGAGCCTTTATTTAACTTCATATTTGCACAGGTTAGCGGACGAAAACATTTTACGAGTCAGCATTTGACGAGTTTATTCCTTGCCATTGTTACTTTTCTTCAAGATTAAACACTCGATAAAATTTCGGGCGACATGACTATGAATTTCAGGCAACATGACTCTGGTTCCGGGTGACACGACTCCGGGCGAGATGACTTTTGGGCGACTTGACCGGTCACCATCTTAGTTATTACACAGCGCGCAGCAGTTACGAGTGCAATATCTGAATCAATCATAACGCAGATAAAATCACAAGCGACATATCTTATTGGTTTAGAATAAACCAACAACTCGTAGAAAACTTAGCAACAAGACAGGCTGGTGTTTTTGTCCTCTTTGTTTACAACCATATAGTGTCAGGCTAATCCCTTAAAAAAAACTAACTCTCTATCACAACGCTGATAGATGTATTCTGTACCAGGTCACTTCTCCGACATGTCAGCTCGCCAACACTATTGGTCAACTCGCCAACAGCGACATATTTGGTGAACTCTCATTGCATAGTTTCAATTTTAAAGAGCTCAATCCGAGATTGATATTCAATACTAATTAGTGATATACAGTGCGTAACGTGAATAGCCTATGTACAGATTGTAAAATAAAGAAACGTTTCTTGTGGTTAAGTTTTTGATGCCCGGCTGATTTCTACTGAGAGAATACCGTTATTTTCCTGAGAATTATGTGCTTGATTTTCGATTCCGGCTTTGCCTTCATAAGCTGTCAGGCAATAACTCTACTGTGGGAAAAATACCCATTTTACAACAATTTATCTGAATGAAATTTATATGTAGTATACTGTCAGAGTTTGGTATCCAACCCTGCTAGATCATCAATTCTAACCGCGCACGAAATTGATCCTGGATACAGGAGTTCCCTCATGTGAGCGATCTCCGTTTCTCTGGCCAAACGTGTATCGCGGATTTCCTCGCCACCCTGGAAAAGAAAAGAAGAAAAGTTAATGTTATTTTGTCAGCAGTAAAAGCTTCCAAACAAACACTAACAACAGTTACCCCTATCTGAGGGTAGGGGAGCAAGCAGTAACTCCTCCCAGTCTCCATCCTTGGACAGCTTTTCATAGCCAGCGTACAAAACTGTGAGACGATTACCGCGAAAATCGCGACTCATCGACGAAATATCGTGCCATACAAACGCTTGTTTTTTAAATGTCGAAAGTAACAATTATCGCTTCGTTTATGCTTTACTTCGCTCTGTGATTGGTCCAGAAAAACTCGCACCCCTCTCTTAACCAATCAGATTCAAAGCTAAAAACCAATCAGAACTTTGTCACCCGCGTTTTCCCGCGTTTCAGGAAGTTTGGTTGTTTTTTACTTGGACTTGTCATATGGCTCTGAGAGGTAGAAGCTGTTGTTAAGACAATTGCGAAATAGTATTGAACCATTCAAAAAAGTTTTGCCTTGGCGATATATCGATCCAACTCAACGATATACATTATCGTTAGGTACCTTGCTTCCTTTTAAAGACATCTAGGAGCGTTACAATTTTATTTCGCCTATTTTGCGAAAGAGCGGTTGTTTCTTATGTTATCCTTTAAGGCGGAAATTGGCGCACGGCTAGCCAGAATTGATCACCTCGCGCATGCCTGATGTTAAACTGCTGTGTGCCGTGTTCCTCACCAGTGACTTACCCTTCTCTCAGATGGGAACCACTTCTTTCTCACTTCACGATACAGCAGGATACCGAACCTCATCCAAATGAATGCAAGGCAAAGGGTGATTGGAACTAACCCCAAATATGTCAGGTAAAATAATTCCTTCTGGTACTCTCCCTTAGTGAAAAAAAAGTAATTAAAAAATGAATAAATAAATAAATAAATAAAATAGAATAAAAGAATATATATGAATAAATAGCTAAATGGGAGGTGGTCATTATTCATCACCTGGAGGGGGGGTGGGGGTGGGTTAGGAGGATTTTGGTTCTTTAATATAATAAATTGAATTGATCACCCCCATGAGACTCTTTAATATCCTTATGACCCCCCCTCCCCCCATCCCATCACACCCCCCCACACACACACATATACACTCATTGGCTGCTATTGGCAATCAATTTTCTACAGTCCCTTGTTTATACTCTATGCAAACTCCCCCTCCACCCCCTTTATACTCTAGAAGAAATACTACTTGTGGTGAAACCACTTGACCACCACTTGTGGATTCACTTTAGTTTTGAATATTGTTGGCATCATTTCTATGACCAATAAGACTGCAGACCAAGGAGAATTGTGTTTGATTTGTTAAATATCACTTTAAGAAATATCAAAACAAAAACAAAAAAAAGCCGAGTATTAAAAAACGTACAATTTCACTTGATTCCTTCATATCCTTACCTTCAAGTACTTCATACACTGAAACTCTATTCCCAGTTTGAAGAAGAATCTAAGAAATTAATTAGAATACGCTGGTTTGCTTTCCTTGTCAGTTAGTTTGTTATTTTCTTTAGTTTCAACCAACGTCAGTCGTATTAAAGATCGTGTTTGTAAAGGCGTGGAGTTGTTAATTCATGCTGCAGATTCCGCATAAGTGCAGTTATGTTCATCAGTTGTCTGCTTGATATTGTATTGATGTTGTGAGGAGAAATTCTGTCTTGGTCACTCACGGGAGTTAAAGGGTTAACATCAATATACATATTCTCTAGACTCTTCACTATAAATTTCCTCTGGTACTGATAAGAAGAATTCATGTTGTAATCAGAGCATCTTGAGTTGGGAATCTTTTTTTTATTCTCATGTTCTTAATGAATGAGTCAGCAATATTACTGGAAGGAGAACTTACATGTTGACTACCCTTTGGGCTGATAGGGTTAATTAAGCTGAGAGAACCAAATTAGTCTATTGTTTCACTTGTGAGCCATGCTGTACTGTGTTCCCTATTTACTAGTACATGTGTACAAAACATGCTCCAAAATTAACAAAAACATCACTTATTTCAAAGCCAAGAGTAAAATTCCACATTAGAGTAATATTTGAATTAAGTATTGACAACTGTAGAGTTCTGAGAACTGTATTTGCATATTAAAAATCAAACTCACAGTCTGATTAAATTGGTATTCATAAACAAAGTAATAGCTAGCTCACCTGATTGTAACATAAAGAAAACCCAGCAAGGACCCAACCAGTCTATTGTCAGTTGTCAGACAGGCAAAAAATGGGTAGAACAGGATCCCGTACACAAGAACAGTGACAATATTCTGAAAAACTAATTAAAACAGAGGAAATATTTTTCTGCTTGCTCATGTTGAGTGCTGGACTGCTGTTCAGGTAAAGGGGTAAGTTTCTAAAGAAACTGTGGTGCTGCTCAGTGGGAGAGTATAACAGGGTAATTTAGTATTTATGACTGAGTTGATAATGTAAATTGGCCACTGTATAGAGTTTAAAAGCTGACATTTCAAGTGCAATAGCCTTTCATCAGAGCAACTGGAGGAATTGTGAGTTGTGTGTGTATATATTTATATGCAGAAAATGGAGCTATGCTATTGGTGGGAATATGGTGACAAGAAAACAAGAATAAATTAGTTAATTGAAAATCGTTCGTTGATACTGCGGGGGGCTTTAGAGTGCTTATTTGAAAGATAATTTTTGTTCTGGAGTTTTGCGGCCCCCGAACTGCCTAGATGTAGGGAAAGGCTGCAAAGTGCCATATGCTGCCCAGAATGATTAGAGAGATTAAAGTATCTAGCAAGTGGTTTGGATGTACCCTTGTCATTTCTTTTTTTACATCATGAAGGTGGTATGACTGTGTTGGTAGTTGAGGGTTCAAGTCCCAGACCACAACAACACTCAGGGTCTTAAAATAACTGAGGAGGATGTGCTACCTTTGATACAACATCTGCAAATGGTTAGATGTTCTATAAGTCTTCTTGGTTAAGGATGATAAACCATAGGCCCCATACTCTCCTTCATCTTCTCTGTGCTGGTTTTAAGCAGGGAACATTAACCCTTTAACTCCCAGAAATGATTAGAAGGTAACTTCTCCCTATAATACCCTTAGATTATCCAGCAAACAGGCAATGAGAATACTCAAACTAATCAGGTAGAGAATGTTTTCTTGATCTAATAAAAAGGTTCTCATAACTGATGAATATGCAAATGTATGGCAGCTAGTGGGAGAATTAATTAATAATCAGATCTTGAGAGTTAATTAGAAAAACAACTCACAGACTTCAACAAAGAGTAACGAATGTGGCTCCCAGTGTGGTCATTGTTATCATTTATAGAAGCCCACTTTTAAACCTGCTTTTAAAAGCCAAACTGAACCAGCCTGTCTAAATATTCCAAATAAATAACTTAATATCAAGTTCACACAAAATCACAAATGGAGGCTACTGGAGGCCCAGGAGCTGCAACTACAGTCACACTTCAAGGAGCTAGAAAACCCAACTGCAGGCCTACCCAAGTGCCAAAAGAAACCCAGCAGTTAGGTTTGAGGGGAGGAAACACCAAGAAACACCATCCTCAAGGACAAGAATCCCATGCTATAGAACAGCAAACACAACACGGGCACATGGTGGAACAATGCATGCACTGATAAGGTATACTGCTGGATGAGGATGGCCCCAAGGTCCTAACATCCACAGCAGTACTGTTGCAAACTCTGCGGAACACAACAAATACTGGCTGAGACACAAACCAAATGCCTCAAAATGCTACTGACCATACATGTATTTGCTCCTAGTCGTTTAAACTGTATGTTGAATTCCATATAACCAATAATATATAGATTTAGCCAAGCCTAAAAGCAGAGCTCACATTTTTTTTTTCCTGCATGTCTCAAGGGCACAACGCCTTGCCCCGGCCAGGACTAGAACCTGGGTTGTCTGACTTGGAGCCCAGTGCTCTGACCACTGGACTACTGAACAAAGCTGTGGCATTGGCATGCCTGCAGTACAGTTGACCACGCATGTTAAAATTAGCACCTTGTATGGTCATATGGTTATACATCCAAATTTTTTTGGCTTGATGGGTCACTACTACTATTTTGTATAGTTATGAGGCTACGTTGTGTAAGCTTAATTATTAAAATTTGTTCATAAACTAATACTGGCCCATGGCAACTGTGTTAACCTATACTTACTATAGTCTTTAAAATGATTTTAACAGTGAGAGAAAAAAAGCAAAACAAAACAAACAAACACTCAATTTATTCAAAATCAGGTTGCTATGGTATGACCACTCACCCTGCACCCATCCAGCTGGGTCAGGCATCTGAAAAATTCCATTTCTTGGTTGTAAAAACATATTAAGGCATGTGCTGGAAGTGGCTCCAAACATAACAGCAATGGTGAATCTGTTGCCAAAATCACTTAAAAAATCAAATGGTCTGAAAGGAAACCACATGAACAATAGTTAAACAGTGGCACCAATTAATAGCTCACTTAAAAGTACACTCCTATTAAACCCATTCAATAACAGAATGCCTCATATTATTGCACTGTGTTTATATTCTGACTGAAATGGCACAATTTTCTGATAGATCAGGGGTGGGAGAGTTTTTGGGTCAATTTTTGCTGTGTATGTACTGCTGCGGCCTCTCAGAAAACCTGCCCCATTATAGTCTACCCTGTGGCCAATTATACACCCCATTTGCCAAGTGAGTCGTCTTTTAAGTAGGTCATGATCCTAAAATGAAGCAACACATTTGTCTACGTGAATTTAGAACAGTTTACTTCTCATCTTCAGTGCATTGACATTCTGGTACATTTCAATCTAATTTGAAACTTCCTGTTTGTAAATCCTTACTTTGATTTATGAAAATTTTCTGAATCATGAAAATGTCCCCACTCTTGTAACTCTACTGAAAATGTAACTCCATTATAGCTAAGAGAGTCATGAAAATGCCACCCAGACCAGCAGCACATCCCCGTGCCTTGTATTACAAGTAGCAACTTTTTTTAAAAAAAGTACATGTAGCTGGG